TATGTTCAGTTTCATCATGTGCGGTGTGAACTTGGATTAATTATTTATATATATATAATATATATATATATATATATATATATACAGATTCCCTGCGATCAATTAAACCAATACAGTTACACCAGTGTATCACATATTTTTAATATACACCCGCATCAGAGGCGGGCCCTCTTCCTTTTTTTTTTTTTTTGTCTCTTCTTCCCTCTTCTCAGACTTATTATTCATTAGTTTCATGTTTTCTCATTTCTCCCCCCCCCCCCCCCCCCTATTTTTGTCACACTCCATACATCATACAATACTCGCCACAGTCTATATCCCCCTTCCCTCCCTCCCCCCTCAGTTCTGACATGTTGATCATTACATTTTCATTATTCATTACAAACATATCTGCCCTCTTGGTTCCCTTCCCCCCCTCTTTTCCTTGCCCCCATAAGTCTGCCACTTTCATAGGTTCATTTCCATTATAAACATTCATCACATCTGCCTCCTCTTTCCCCTCTCTCCCAGCTCTGTCACTACTATCAGCTGCATTTCCAGTACACATCACACAACAGGTCTCTGTCTCCCCCCCCCCCCCCCCTTCCTTTCTGTCACACTCATTATCTGCCTCCTATCACTCTTTCAGTTCAGTCCCTTTGTTCCCGAGGCCATCCGTGCCATTATCACCACAACACCACATTCACCCCCTCCAGCCATCCTCCACATGGCTATGCTGACTCAGTTCCCTTCTTCCCCTGGGAGGAGCCTTGCAGTCACTGCACGTGTTCATGTTTTGTTCCAGGGATACCAGACATGAGTCATCCGGAGTTTACTTCCTGTCTCGTGGTTTGCATTCCAGCAGCCATTTCCCCACAGGCATAAAGCACACTCTCACACCATCCCACTCAGGCGTCAACAGCAAGGCTCTTACTTTCCATTCATCATACAACAGCATCAGAGGTATCTACACCATATTCATATGTCTCATCCATTCACTTAACCATTGCCTCCTAAAGGTCATTCATAGACGCACTCTTATTTCATGTCTTCTAATGTCCCCAATTTTTTTTTTTTTTTCCAACAGTCCAATATCACTACACAGCACTAACATAGCGCCCGACAGTTTGCTCAGCGCTTCACGTTTGAATAGATATATATGGTCTACAGCCACACTCGTTACTTTAAACTGATAATCATCCACTATGCACTAGTCTTATTACTTTTATTTTTATGATGTTTACTAATTATTATTTTTTTTATCATCATTGCCAGTGTTACTACTACGATTATTTTTATATATTTTATTTTAAAAATTTTTTTTATATTTATCTACATTTGCAGGTGCTATATTCATGTGTTTTTAATAATTTTTTATTTGCTTTGTCTCTTATGCATATACACATATACAAAGATACATACATGCACTGTGTATATATGTTTGTATATGCGTTTATAAAAACTAAAAAAGATTGCACTTTAAATAACCCCCTCCAACCCCTCATCTTATAACAAGTAGAGGAGGTGGAGCTTTGCTCCCAAGGCATCTAGCCCTGGTTATTTACTACTTGACCTCCATACAGGTTGGTCATCAGCTCTGAGGAAAGGGATTCGTCCCGAAACGCGTCAGCATTTGACCGCACTGACAGTGAGAACACCTTGCCTGCCGTTGTGGCCATTGTCATTTTTCAATGCTTTTGAGATACATGCTTCGTCTGTGAGTATGTTTTTTTTATTCTTTCACTCCTACAATAAACCTTGGATAATGCACTAGGTGTGTGTGCCACCTGTTTTTCTTTTGATCAAATGCCACCAAAAGAAAGCTCTATTTGTGGGGAAAAAGGATGTAAATTCCATATGAGTTTGCATGTCCACGCAATTGTCAGTTAAAGTAGTGCAGTGTTGTATCTCAGAAAATGGCCTGGTCAGGAAGGGGGGTAAAATCCTATGGCAGGCAAGTGCTTAATGTGGATTTTTCAGTACAGTTCTCCCCATATAGAGGTACATATGGTTATTTGCAATACTAAGATGCACAGTGGCATTTTGTTAGTGTCATGATGTGTAATGTGTGCCCAGAAAACATTTCCCTGTGCTATTATATCAGAACCATTGTCACAAAACAGGCTGGATCCTTGGATTCATGGGGTCTACAAATTATGACCCTACCATCTGCATGATGAAGCAGAAATTTAGATCTCCAGTTGTTCATCTTGTGCTTGTTGGATTATTATTTCCTGTTTTTAGCTGACAGTAGAAGAACCCTGTGTATTCCTCCACTGCTGTAGCTTACTCACTTCAAAATGGTATTGAACCCAAAAGCAAACATGTATTACATTGCAGCTTACCAATTCTTAGACATATTGGCTGCATTTGTTTTCTTTTTCAGTTTTTTCCTCCTTATATTTCACCTGGTGAGCTGGCCAGTAAGTCTCTTGTTTTCAACAGAAGCTTTCCTGCAAATGTTCCAGTTAAGACTGTTGGGACAAACCATTTAACAATGATGTGGGAACTTACAATGATCAACTTTTATTTATCATGTAAATGATCCTTTATCCCAAAAGAAAAAAAAACTGTTGCTGTAACTGCAGTGTGAGCTGGGGTTCAGCTTCAATGTGTTAGTGTATCTACATCTGCTAGCATATCTAACACTCCCCTCCCTCAGATTAACAATGCTGCTGTCTTCTGTGCTCCTTCATCTTGAGTGGGGGCAGTCTAGTACAGGAGGTACAGATCACCAGATCAAAACAGAGCGAGAAAGCTTAGAAAACTAATGCAGCCAACACATATAAGGAATGGTAAGCTTAAATATAGTTAATTTTTATTTTTGGGTTTATTACCACTTTAAGGATGCCTTTCTGCCCACCATTGTATCGAAAAGTACTTATTTAAGCAATTGTGGACTTCCTGTTTGCTTGAATAAGCTTGGCTATTCTAAATTTAAATTAGATTTTTTTGAAAAGGTGTTTATTTCAAACAGAACTTTCACACCATTATCTGTAAAATCTTGGCGAAACTGCGTCTTTATAATCCGAGAAAGTCAACAGTTTCTGAAATGCCACAACCACTATGTAAGTTGTTATTTGGTCAGTCATGTATATTTCCCAGTCTGTTTACCATGGTTGCAAGAAGTGGACTTTTGGACCCTGTCTGCATGCTTCCACAGGAAAGCCTAAAAAATGTAAGAAAAGACAGATTTTACATGTACTATCTAATATTTGCTCTCCTGCAGAGCTACAGCTTCCACAGGAATCTCTTGAAGGAACACATTATACAGTATCTATAAATTGTCCCCACATTTAGGACACCACATTCCATCGCTAACACATTAAGTATAAGAGCAGAGATTATGGGACTTATAGGGTGTCTGCGTGATGAAATTCTGTGAACCTAATGGAATATAACTACCAATGTACGGTAAATACCAATATACGAAAGTACACAACACCCCCACCCCTCATCACACATTTGCCTTGTACTACACATTATACAAGCTTATGCATTCAGTTATTGATAAAATTCTCTTTTCTCTCCACAGTGCATTAGTAATTGTTAGGAAAGGATGATGGTACTGTGTTACGTATATCTCAGACAGTCTGCTTCCTTGGACAAAATGGCAAAGTATCTGAAACAATGCAAAGACATATTAGAGCACATAATTAGCCAGATAAACATAATTACTCCAAGCATCTACAATTATAGAAACCACTTAGAATTTAAACTGTGTGCATGTGATATCTAGCGCTTTCACCAAAGACCCCCCCAGGGGACTGCAGTGGACAACATGGGCCAGGGACAGGCTGCCTCTGTATTCATATTATGAAACAGTGTATTAGGATTACTTTATATTCTGTGACTCACAGGGATACATGATATCATATCTTCTCTAAAGTGTCTCTTCTCCAGGGAGAATAAGTTTAATGCTTGTAATAGTTCATCGTAATTGAGATCCTCCAGTCCCCTTATTCATTTTGTTGCCCTTCTCAGGACTCTCTCCAGCTCAAGCACATCCTCCCTGAGGATTGGTGACCAGGACTGAATGGCATACTCATAGATGTGGTCAAACCAGATTTTCATAGTTTTATCTCTTGAGTAAATACCCTTTTTTATGCATGCTAATATTCTGCCAGCTTTGCTTGCTGCAGCTTGGCATTGAATGCTGTTGCTGAGTCTGTCATCTACTACGACCCCTATGCCTTTATCCATCCTGGATTCCCCCGGGGTTCTTCCCCTAGCGAGTAACTTGCGTTCATTTTGCAGCCCCCGAGTGCATTACTTTACATTTTTCAAGCATAAACCTCATTTGCCATGTAGTTGCCCACTCCTTTATTTTATTGAGGTGTTCTTGCAAATTTTCTCTATCCTGTGAAGCTATTGCCCTACCTAGCTTTGTATTGTCAGCAAATACTGAGCTTGAGCTATTTATACCAACCTCTATATCATTTATGAATACATTAAACAGAATTGGTCCCTGGACAGAGCCCTGAGGTACCCCACTTACCACTCCAGACCAGTCTGAGCACACACTATTTATCACCACTCTTTGGACACGCTCCTGTAACCAATTCTCTATCCATGAACAAACCCTATAGTCTGTCTACAGACCTCAGTTTGTGAATTAAGTGTTCATGGGGGATTGTATTGAATGCTTTTGCAAAATAAAGGTACACAATATCCACAGGCCTTCCCTTATCTAGCTGCTGTTAGGATTTGTTTTACCCTCCATCATGATGGGGTTAAAGGATTTTTTAGAATAGTATTTACAGCTCTGAAACTTTAACAAGCCATCCATAACCTGATTGCACTAATTTGGACTGATGCACTCAGCTAAATTAGTAATACCTTTGAGGGAATACATGGTAATTTAACCTGGCGTTTTTTGTCTATATGCCACTGTGATGAGTAAGACAGTCATAGAAGCGTGGATGGTTTTCGGTGTGTTCAATTGTTATATTAACAAAAAGAATTTAAATAAACCAAGCTGTACAATTGTTGGCACATTTGTTGAAAATATTATATTTATCCAGGCTACACAGACAAACATCCCTATTTTGGAGCAGTGATTGGTCGCGTTGCAAACAGGATTGCCAAAGGTATCTTCACTGTGGATGGTAAAGATTACCTTCTTCCAATCAACAATGGGCCTAATAGCATCCATGGGGGACTTAAGGGCTTTGATAAGGTAATAAGGGGTTTCTTTAAAATATACATGTACATTGTAATCATCATGTATCCAGTATGCTGTACCATTGAACTGACTTGATTGCATTTATAGATTTACTTAAGTTTTTATGTTTTTAATTGTTTTTTATGTATCATTGCTTTAAAGTCAATTGCACCTTATACTAATTTTTTCCTACATATCACACAATCCAGGTATATAGTTTTCTGATGGTTCTAGATTATGACAGGCGGTATTTTTTTTCATAAATATTAGTAGATTAAATGTTAGTAGAGATTTACGGTCAATGAATAAAATTAAATTTTTATAACATCAGCATTGTCAGGGTTGTGGAAATTAAAAAAAAAAAAAAAAAATACTTGTCCAGGGACTAAATTTGACAATCTACATGTCCAGATAAAAAAAAAATATTTTTTTTTAACCAAAACCGTATTTAAATCGGAGGTTATTTTAGGAATGTTAGGGGCTTTTAAAAACAAAAGGGGCTTTATGGCGACTTAAAGGTGTAATTATTTTATCATTGCGCTGTTTATCTCCTCCTCACCTCCCTGCCTGTCTCCAGCACTGCACCCGGGGACTAGCAGGGAGGAGAGCACTAATTGGCTGCTCCTCAGAAAAGGGGAGTGTTGGGTGTATTCTTTACCCCTTTCGCTGCCAGAGCCTTTTTTGCGTTTTTTTTTTTTGCACAAGTTTTCATTTTAGGCCTGAAGATTACATAAAACCCCCAAACGTATATTTTCTGAAAGCAGAGACCCTAAGGAATAAAATAGTGGTAGTTCCAATTTTTTTTACGTCGCATGATATTACCACAAAATTTCAATATAAAATGCAAGTTAATTTTAGGGCATAAAAAAGCAATACATTTCCCTATTTTTTTGTAAAATATAAAAGATGAGGTTGCACCGAGTAAATAGATATCCAACATGTCAAACCTTAAATTTACGTGCGCTCATGAAATGGTGACGAACTTCAGTACCATATATTTTCTATAGGTGACAATTTTAAAGCCCCTTATAGGTCATCAGCATAGTGTACGGAGGAGGTCTCATGCTAGAATTATTGCTCTCATTCTGGCATGCGCAGTGATATGTAACGTGTATCGCAATCAAGATTTTCATGTGTAGGCGCCCCAGCGTGTACTTTTACGTTTGTACATGTGTATATGTGGGGGGGGGGGGCTCAGTTTTTTTGGGGGGAGGGGATGTCCCGTGCTTGGGTGTAACTTTTTGATTTTTCACAATAAAAAAAACCAAAACTTTTTTTCTTACTTACTTTTTGTTTTAATCACATAGGGAACAAAGTCCCCTTTCAATTTCCTTTCAATTTCTAAGAACTACATATCCGATGTTACCTTTCTGCCTGCAGGGACTGATATCTGTATTGCCTCCTGAAACTCCTCCTCTCAGCACCATTGTAGTTCAGAAGTGCAAGATCTGGTAATATCCTGGGCTGGACACTACTTAAAAGCAGTATTAAACCTGAAACCAAAAATGTAATATATTGCAGATTACCAATCCTTAGACGTGGTGGCCGCAATAGTCACCTTCTTTGGTGACTGGCATTCAGCTTTCCAAGGTCCTCAGAAAGCCTGGTCATCGTATCCTGCTTGAGGACCGTGACTACCGGGGAGGCCCAGACTCTAGCTGACCCCTGGATTCCTGATTGTGCCATTCCCTTGGTCTCTGTGCCCCAGTCAGCCTGCACCTCCTGAATCCGGATACCATCTATCAGAGGCATTGACAGCAGCTTCGGAACCTGAGGGGCAGGAAGGGGTGATTGGATCTGAGGACTGCAGCCCTCTCTCTGTAATCCAAGCATCCACCCCAATAAGGCCCTTGCACCCCCAATCCAAGCGTGCTGTCTCTGCCTATGACATCTGTCTGTCTGCCTGTTGACACACCATGACACATGAGATCAAATAACAGGCTCCCAGCCCCCAGTGAATAGGCCAGTCATTCCAGCCTCCCTGTTCTTTTGTTTACACTTCCCAGCAGGGGAGTTCACACCTAGCCCCAGGCTGAAATCCCCATATGAATGGCTTTCCAGAGCTACCTTACTCGTGGGACTACAAGTCACAGCTAGCTTACCTCTGAAGCTCCTTTGGGATCGCTTTTCAGTGCTGCCTGAGGCGTGGAACTACAAGTCCCGGCCGGCTGTTGTGTACCCTTCTTAGCAGGGCAACTCACAGCTAGCTGACTTCTGAAGTCCCTTTGGGAATTGCTTTTCAGTGCTGCCTGATGCGTGGAACTACAAGTCCCAGACGGCTGTTGTGTACCCTTCTTAGCAGGGCAACTCACAGCTAGCTGACTTCTGAATTTCCTTTGGGAATCGCTTTTCAGTGCTGCCTGAGGCGTGGAACTACAAGTCCCAGCCAGCTGCCTAGTCCTGTGCAAGGCCAACGGCTGGGCACTTATCAAGGCAGAATTTTTTGGGCCTGGGCAAGGAACAGGCCTATCCAGACCATCCCCTTGCTCAGCCCCCAGAGACTGTACCTCTGCCCCCGTCACAGTACTGTGGGTGACCCCCAACAGTGAAAATACATAATTTGTCTCATCATGAATATCATAATCATTGTTAGCATTACCAACCATACCATCAACAATACTGACATTATCAATGACATTACTGACATTACCATCAATGTTGCTGACATTATTATCATCCCCATTGTCATCACAACCATTATCAACAGTCACGTTCATAATATCAATGACACATGCGTTCGATACCTCCCCAGGCAAGGGGATTTCTTCTCGTTCTCCAGCTAATGGAGAACCCTGTAGCCCCACTCCATTCCCAGCCCCCTCCCTCTGTCCATCCACAGGTGGCCCAGATATTACCCCAATATCTGCCCACATTACCTTGGCAGGTCCAGAGAGTTCCAGGGGGCCCTTCTGGGTATTCTCGGCAGGGGCATAATAAGAAACCAGAGTGCCTAGGTCAGCACCCAACAAAACAGGTGTGGGAATTTCATCCGAGACCCCCACCGCCCTCATCCCCCTCCCCGCACCCCAGTCTAGGAATACCTTTGCACAGGGTATGCGTGAACAGGTCCCCCCAACTCCTGTGAGGGTAAGGAACTTTCCCGGGATGAGGTTCCGTGGCTCAATCAGCTCTGGCCGGATCAAGGTGACTTCTGCCCCGGTGTCCCGGAAACCAGTTACGGACCGGTTGCCCACGGTAACTTGCTGCAAGTTGGCGGGGTTTACCTGCATCTTCCTGCGAATGAACAGCACAGAAGAAGAGTTGCTGGCCAGATGATGTCGTCTGCTTCTGCTCAGGACACTGCGTCCTGAGATGTCTGGTTTTCCCATGGGTGAAACATCGGCGGGTGTCAGGCAGAGATGGCTTGGCTCCAAGCGCTGCAGGTGTGGGCGGAGCAGAAGCTTGACTCACCGAAGTAGGAGAGATTGCTAGGGGCGATTTCCCCCCTTTCCAGCCGTTCGGAGGAGCCTTGCGAGGGTCAGACACCCGCGTGTGGACGAAGGTATCTGCCAGGTCTGCTGCAGCTTTAGTAGAGGCTGGCTCCCTCTCCAAGACTAACTGTCTGACGTCTGCTGGGCAAATGTGCAAGAGTTGATCTCGTATCATGAGATCTTCCAAAGACTCATGGGAGTCAGCTTTCAGTCCCTTAGTCCACTGTCGGAATGTGGTGCGTAAGCGACTCGCCACATCCGTGTAAGAGTCCCCAGGTCCCTTCTGCATGGACCTGAACCGCTTGCGGTACACTTCTGGGGTCATCTGGTACTTCCGGATGATGGCATGTTTTAAAATTTCGTAATCATCGTCTTGCCCCTCTGGCAATTCGACAAACGCATCCAGGGCCTTGCCTCGTAGCCCTGGTGTCAGGTACCAAGCCCATTGAGTTTGGGGCACATGGTACTGACAGCACGTTTTTTCAAATGACAATAAGTACGTGTCAATGTCACTCTCCTTTTCCATCACTGGAAACTTGGCTGCGCCCACGGAAAGAGTGGCGTCTCTGTGATCTAGGGCCCCGAGGTTCTGACCCGGTCGCTGCTGGAGCCTTGCCATCTCCAGCTCGTGCCGACTATCAGCTTCCCTCTGCACCGCCTCTCTCTCAGCCTGGCATTCCGCAGTTTCTCTGTCAGCCGCTGCTTGGCATTCCTCTCTCTCAGCCTGGCGTTCCGCAGTTTCTCTGTCAGCCTGGCATTCAAGGAACCGCAGGTATGCCTCAAGATCTGTCTCCATGAGGCGTTTCAGGGCTTTCTGCATCTGAGGAGAGTCTCTGCTGGTTACAGGCACTCCGCTGCTGGCCCGCACAGGCGGTGGTGTGACGATAACTTTCGGTGATCTTCCAGTGTCAGCCTCTGTATGCCCATCCTGTGAGGCCATCTCTGAGCCACTGGAAATGTGGGTAGCGGGAACCCCTTCAGGTTCAAGTTCCCCCGAGTTCTGATCTGCTCGGATATCATACTCCACTAGATCACTAATCAAATCTTCACGATTTTTGCGACCGACGTCCAATCCTCGTGAGGTACATTCTGCCTTCAAGTCACCTTTGCTCATTTTCTCATATTCTGCTACACCAGGCATAATTGCAAGCAAAGATAGAATACGAAAGTAGGAAAAGGAAGGAGCTGTTGCTATATGTCTCTGTCTCTCTCTCTCTCTCTCTCTCTCTCTCTCTCATATATTTATATATATATATGTATATATATATATATACAGTGGGGATCGAAAGTTTGGGCACCCTAGCTAAAAATTTGTATTAATGCGCATAAAGAAGCCAAGGAAGGATGGAAACATTTCCAAAAGGCATCAAATTACAGATTAGACATTCTTATAATATGTCAAAAAAAAGTTAGATTTTATTTCCATCATTTACACTTTCAAAATAATAGAAAACAAAAAAATGGCGTCTGCAAAAGTTTGGGTACCCTGCAGAATTTATAGCATGCACTGCCCCCTTTGCCAAGCTGAGACATGCCAGTGTCATGGATTGTTCTCAATCATCGTCTGGGAAGACCAGGTGATGT